CCTGGACCGTCCCAGGTGGTCCTAGGCGACATCGCGTGCAGTGAGCAGGGGGAAAGAGCCTTTGCACCTGGAAGGTGCCGAGGACCGAGGTCACCCCGCCCCTGAGCCAGCAGGAGGGAGCGAGCGGAGCTGGGCAACAGCCCCCGTCCCCCAAATCATCCCCCAAACTCAACACCGGGGTTCCTTTTAGTTGCAACGCTCTCTCTCTCGCTCTCTCTCCAGGTGGTAGAGGCTTATAAGCAAGGTCTCAGGCCAGCCGTGGGCTATGAGCTCAACCCCTGGCTGCTGTGTCTCTCCAACTACCGGGCCTGGAAGGCTGGGTACCGCGGGCAGGTTTCCTTCCTGAAGAAAGATCTCTGGAAGGTAACGGCGTCCCGAGGGTCTGGCTGTAGCTAGGGCGGGGCCAGGGCTCGGTCTGCATCTCCAGACAGGCTTCGCCGATGGTCGCTTCCTCCTTCCCCCACCCATGCTGCTCCCGGGAGGTGGAAAAACCATCCTCCTTCCCGGGGAAACGCCGGCCTGGGCTGCTGGTTGGCGCAGGCAGCAGCGCTCCTTCTCAGGGCAGCTCTGAGAAGAGGCGTCGGGTGCTGCCGGCACACGGCGGCCTGCAGAGACGCGCTGCTAAAGCTGGCGTCGGGTACCCGCAGCCCGACCGGAGGAAACCCAGCAGGGAACGTGGTTCTGGAACGATGCCGGAGGCAGGTGTTTTGCAAGAGGCGCTGCTTTCACACCGACACGTGTCCGTCCCGCACGTCGTGGGGCATCTTTGCTTCCTCCGAGGTTCAGAAGATCACCTGCAAAGCGCTCAGCTGCTCGAGCGGTTCCCCCGCCCCGTGCTCCCCCTCCGTCTGTTGCTTCTTTCATTCCCCTTTTCCTTCTCTTTTAAGGTGAATCTTTCCGACTGCTACAACGTGATCGTGTTCCTGGCCCCCAGCGTGGTAAGTCGGTCTCTTGCAGCCCGGCTTGTTCTGAGCGAGCTGGAGGGAGGGTTTTCTTAGAAAAGAGAGATGATCTGGGACAGTGGCAAAGACTCTTTAAAAAATAAGGCCATTAGTGCGAGCGAGCGGGTTGGCGCTCAGCACCACTCGAATTTGTAGAATCATTCAGGTTGGAAAAGACCTTTAAGATCATCAAGTCCAACCGTTAACCCAGCACTGCCAAGTCCACCACTAAACCATGTCCCTAAGCACCACAGCTACACGTCTTTTAAATACCTCCAGGGATGGTGGCTCAACCACTTCCCTGGGCAGCCTCTTCCAATGCTTGACAACCCTCCGGTGAAGACATTTTTCCTCGCGTCCAATCCAAACCTCCCCTGGTGCAACTTGAGGCTGTTTCCTCTCGTCCTATCGCTTGTTATTTGGTCCTTGTCCCAACCGCACGTGGGGCTAGTACCAGCCCTGCATTTTGGAAGGGTCTTGGCTTGATAATGCCTGCTTGGGACCCACCAGCCGTGCCGAGAAGCTGCCCTGTGGTCCTTGGTGGCACCGCCACTACGTGACTTCTAAGGCCGCCTGGCCCTGGCTGTCTCTCTCTCCCCAGAAACCTCCCCTAGCCGCCAAGCTCCTTGCAGAACTCCCCGACGAAGCCCGGGTGGTGGCTGGACGCTTCCCCTTCCCCTCCTGGACCCCCACCAGCACCCTTGGGCAGGGGCTGGAGCAAGTCTGGGCCTATGACATGAAGGAGGTGCGGCGAGTGGCGCCGAGCAGCGCAGAGGGAAGCCCGGTCTAACGGCAGCCTCGTTAAGCCTGGCATTAAGTGTCAGCAGTGGTAGGGGTCAGAGCCTCTCCCAGCCCTTGGGCTCAGCTCAGGACAGCAGTGAGAGGGATGCTGGCCAGGCTTTTTCCCGGGGACTTGCAGGGTGGTGGTCCCTCCTTGCCTTCCAAAGAGTGGGCAGTTTGGGGGAAGCAAGGGAGGGGAAAAACGCATCTAGAAATCCTGGAATTATCGCAGGATTTAAGGGCTAAATCTCCAGTGCCTCTTTCTGTATGTTTGCTACTTTTATTTCTAGTTATTTTTTCAAAATAAACGTTTGGACGGTTCTTCCCTCGAGACTTTTGCTTTGCCTTTGAGCCGCAGGGTGCTCCTGGAGGCAGAGCAGCTGCTGCTCCCGGCCTCGGGCTTTGCTCCGCCGTCCCTTTGAAGGCGGCTCAGGAGGGAGTTTGTCCAGCTCACCTCCCGCTGAAGGATCAGTTTGGCCCTGCTCACCTTACATAACATTCCTTTTTCCACTCAAACAGAGGAAAAAAAGGTTTTCCCACCGTAAAAGAGCAGCTCACCCCCTTTGTCTAACCTCTTAGACCAAAGTTTAGCTTGAACCAGCCCTGGCCTTACCTCTTAGAAGCTGAGAAGGGAGCAAAGGCAGGAGCAGAGTTAGCCCTTGGACTGCGGTCTAGGTCTGACCCAGGAGAAACGTTACAGCAGCGCCCTAGGAGGCAGGAACGGGAACCTGTCCCTGCAGCCCCGCAGTAAAAACCTGCCTGGGAACTGACTCCGTGTCCCGAGGCGTGATGTACTCGGGGAACAGCAGAATTCCTACAGCTGAGGGGTCAGAGGATAGACGAGACGCAGTTGTCTCGTTCCATTTTAGTACTGTTAATTTGAGACCGAGAACACCCACGTGGTTTCCCTCGCTGTGCCTCCCAGCTCTCAGCCGGGGAAGGATACTTGCCCTGGCCAGCCCACACAACAGAGAGCTCCTTCCTTTTAAATCCTGCTCTTCCCCGTGATCGTGCCGCTTACTCGGAGCCGTGGGGAAGAGCTACGGTTGGTGGCTGACGGTCCTTCTGGCTCTGGGCAGGGAGTGAGTATCGGCCGCCCCAGCACTGAGCACACGTGGCACCTCACTGCCAGCGAGCTTCCTCAACCGGAGGATCTCCTGCTTGTACCTGCAACGGGGAAGCAGCACCGTTGTTGCCCACGTGGTCACAACCCCGCTGATAGCTCACACACAGGAGCGGCAAATTTAACTGTAGGCTTTGCCTTGTGTTTTTGCTGCATGCTAAGGACACACGGTGTCAGTTAATTCAGACCAGCCGGCCCAGGCACTGAGCCACGCCAGGAGCTGAGCCCTGGCAGATATAAAATGGCAGCCTTTTCCCGAGCGAGGAAGAGGTGTTTGCTGGCTCTGCTGGGTAACTGCACCAGCAACAAGCCCACGGGTCTGACCCCAGTTCACAGCCGAGCTGGCTGGGGAGTTACAGCAGGCGCAGTTGGACCATTGCTCTGACAAACGCGCCCTGCTTGTTCTCGCCCTTCCTTGCCCGAGCAGCTGTTCCCCCTGCTTCGGGGCGTGATGAGCCAGTGAGGGAGAACCGTAGATCAGGGGCTGCTGGAAGGCTTTGGATTTTAGGCAACCCCTCTCTTAGCTCCCTCCAAAGGATGGGTGAGCGCAGAGGGAAGGAGACGTGCGGCAGGGCAGGCCAGACGCTGCCCCCCCGCCCTGCGGAACAAGGGATGGTGGCAGCTGCCCGCGCAGCTGGACGTGCTGCGGGACATCAGCCGTGCCGGCAGCGCTGTGGGAAGGCAGCGGCGAGGTCAGGCGCCGGCAGCGTGGCGGGCACGGCGATGTCACCGGCAATTAGCCGGGGAGACAGAGAACACGTGAAGGGGGATCTTACCATCTCACCTTGCAAGATGCTTATCTATGTATTCCTGCAGCTCCGACACCTGCTCTTCTGCCACGATCGCCCGAGTCAGCAGCTGGCTCCTCTCCTGCTCCAAATCCTCCTGGGGGGGCAAAGAAACATGGAGAAAACAGGAAGCTCTGTGAGGTGGGAGTGAAGTTGCTCACTCCCTCTGCCAGGCGAGACTGAGCACTTCCCCATCACTCAGCTCCGGCACCGCTTGGCGTTAGGCTACAGAAGCAACCGAAAACTGAAGCGCTCGGGGAATGGAGCCTAGCGACTGTAGCGCAGCTTTCTGCAGGCACCACCGCTCCAGGGCAGCGGCCGGACAGACCAGGCAGCCTTCCCTGACCGGCGCGCGGGCATGGGGGCCAGGGCCACCCCAGAACTGGCAGTAACCCCTGCCTGCCAAGCCATCGTTAACTCCCCCAGAGGCTTCACAGACAACTGGCGGAGCGGCCGCTAGATTTGGCACTCGGACAGGGAGAGCTTTCACACCTGTCCACCGGTAGTTTGCTGCAAAGGGAAATTACCTTCCCTTTGAGATAAAAAACATTTCGTTTTTGCAGTGTCTCTGAGCAGTAGATCATCACCTTACCCAAGTTAACTGCACAGTCCCCGTGTCACCAGGAGGATCTGAGGTGCTTGACTGAGCTCACCCCCGAGATGCACAGCAGAGCCAGGAGCAGGACAGGCTCCCAGTGCAGTGCTCCAGCCTCTCAGCCACAACAGCTCCCTTCTTTTAGCCACAAAGATACACACAATTTAGGTGTTTAACTTTACGTGACCAGAGAACGGTGGAGCACTTCCTTAGGCCGCTGTTGACAGAGGAAGGCTCAACATGGAAGCAGGCCAGTAGCACATCTATAGCTTTGTCTACCACCGAAAACCAAACCTCTGCTTGGTTTCCAAAGCCCTTTTCCCCACGCGTGGCAGTCAGCGTGGCAGGGATCCCAGCACCAACTCTTCTTCCCGCTGCTGCCATCACTGCCAGACAGCAAACCCCAGCTCAGCCAAGCCCACTCCCAGCGAGCATCACCATGGTTTCATGGGTGCTGTAGGGCAGCGTTGCGGTTGGAGAGCGCTCTCCTCCTCGCTCTGGGCCACCCCACTCCTGAGTGCAGCGCAAATATCCTCGCACTCAGGGGGAAGCAGGCTGGGAAGCTGATTTCAGATTCAGACTCGACTTGAACCAGGTCAAATACAGACCCACTTTGTTACACAGATGCCTAAATGCTTGTGCTGAAACAAGGGAGGGAGCAATAGCAAACAGTCCAGCAATCAGTAGCTGTAAGGGCTGCTGCTCTTCTTTTAGTAGCAGGGAAAGTACAGCCTCGACGTATCACCGGCCGGGGACCTGCTAGCGTCACTCGGTGGGCTGAGGCCAAAGCCACAGCAAGACTCCGTGGAAAGCTTCCCTGCTCCAGCCTGGAGCAGCGTGTTGGCCACAGGGCAGCACCCAGCTAGGGCAGCACATGTAAGGGTTAAGCTTTTATTCAGGTGGGCTGTTCCAGACCTCTACCTGGGTGGTGTGTGCGAACTCCCGGAGCTGCTTCCTGACCTCTGCCCAGCCCTCCTCATCCAGCTGCCTAGGAGAGAAAAGCAGATATTGATCACGAACAGACCTTCAAATCCCGCCCATCGGCAGGTCGCACAGCTCTGTTCAGGGCTGCACACAACTCCTGTTCATCAGACCGTAAACCCCAGCGCTCTGAACCTTTTCTCTCCCGATGCCCCAAACATCAGGGCATGCAGTGCCGTCCCTGTACCCGGGCACGAGAGCCACAGCCCTTCTGCCAACCTGGGATTCCCCGCTGCGACGGCTGGATTTCTTCCAAGTTCACATCAACGCTCATACATCAGAGGACTCCATGCAGAAAGAGTCCTTAACCTGACACCGCAGGACTGAATTTGATGGAAATAGAGAACAATCAATGCCAAACGCTGGCGTTTTTCATGTTGCTGAGCACAAACCTGCCCGTTCCGATCCCTGAGCACGATAGGTGAGCTGTCTGTGCAGCCCAGCCATGGGAAAGATCTTCCTATTCTGTCCCAGTCTGAATAAGCAAAATACGGGTCACATCTGATGCTCGGGGAATTTGAGTTGTATGAAGGGAGGAATGCATTGTGCTCAAGAGCGGCTCCGCTGCGACTGCCAGAGTTCCCTCTGGTGGCTGCAGCCTCCCGGCCCAGGCGCACAGGAAATCATGGCTGAGATTTCATGGGAGCAGAAGCGAAGGGAACGATAAGCAGCGAAGCCGCACAGCTGATAAAGACGAGAAGCAGCAAGAGTTGTAGCTGAAGTGCTGCGGTTACACCAGGCTTCGTATCTCCAGCTAGAGGAACAGGGTAACGGCATGGGTAAGACCCATCAGCACACAGAACACAAGGGTTTCAAGTGTGTCGAGTCTCTCGGCAGCTATAGAAACCTTAACAAGATGCATCACTAAATTGCAGGTTCTGGTACTTCTCTGTCTTGTTCCTGTGGCAAGTCTGCCAAAATTAACGCATCTTTTCGAGGACTACTGCTATTTTTCAGCATGGCAGAGCCTGGTTAAGGCTCAAGCTCTTCTCTGAGACACTCCTCCGGAGCCTGGTGCCTCCGGCACTGACCGACTCCTCCGTGCTGGCATCCAGTCACTGAAATACCTGACATGTTTTCTAGGCTACCACATTTTAAAAGGCCGAAAAATCCCAGCTCAGATTTCTCCTACACTTTGTTCCACCTCTCCACAGCTATAGTTGATAGAGTTTCAGTAGACTCATGGAGCAGGGGAAAAAGACCCATCAAAAATGAGCAAATAAAGGGCATGTCAGGAAGCCAGGGAGGTATCCGTACAGGGTCACCTAAGGGTTCCAGCCCAGCTTCTGCACTGGGAGGGAGGAGAAACAAGACCATCCCAAAGTGGTGTTCCACTTGCCTTTCTCAGGTTGGGATCCACCAAAGCACTTGCGCGTATGCTTAACTTCAGCTTCTAAAGAGATCAGTGGGACTAAAAACATGATTAAATCAAACATGTGCTTAAGAGCCTTCCTGGACCAAGGCCCAAATGACAAACTCATTTCACCACAGGAAACGCTGCACTGAGACGGCAGCTGGCTTTTCTTCTCGGACGAGTCCCTATCAGCTTGCTTTCTCCCTATTTATTACCATCTCCAAGTACAGCAGCAAAGCCTCCTCAATCCACACAGCAAGGAGAATTCAGAATCGCAAATATCCCGAGAAAGAAACAGCACTTACTGCTCAGCAGACAGCGGAAAGCCAGAGGTTTCTTTCAGTCTTTTCTGAAGGCAAAGGAAGAACAGTATTCCCGTAAGCATTACACCATTGCAATCTCACCAACAGTCCCTGCCACTTTGAAGCGGCACAACATATCCTAGCACTCTAACAGCCACCAGTGCCCCGGCAAGGAAGTGATGTGCAGCACAATCTTAAGGTTTAGGTCTCCCATCCTCTGAATTTTTAAATAAACGTATGTCACGCAAATCAAGAGACACGTCTCTGCCCAGGCAGAACCAGTGGGAGGACGTGGAGCTGACTGGTGTGTTTCTGAGTGTGGTCTCCTGCTCAGTTAGCTATTCACGCTGAGGCAAAGGCATTCGAGAACAGAAAGCCCCATCCTATCCTCCCTCCCTCGCCTCTTTTAGCAGTGAGTGAGTCTGCTGGCCTGACAGCTCTCCCATAACATCTGCTACTCCTCAGCCCTCCCAGAGCTCCCTGACCCCAACCTACGGGGCTGCCCAGCCTCCTGGATCTAACTGTAACTCACCCCTATGCAGCAGGGTTGAAGCAGTGAGGGGAATGCTTGGACATCCCGTCTCTGCCCAAAATGAGAAAGCGAGCAAGCACTACCCCTGCCTGTGCCACAGAGATACAGCAAACCCTCAGGGAATGCCTAAGGAAGGGGATGAACCTATCGCTTGTGAGACTCTCCCCACCACCCCCACGTTTCACCACCACAGGAATCCAGCAGCCCAGTCACCACCTTCTGCAATTCATCTAGCTGCATCTCCAGTTTGGCTTTATCCTCCCGCAGCCGGTTTAGCTCCCGGGTCGTGTTTGTCAGCAGCTCCGAGTCTGTGATGGAAAAGTGGAGCTCGGCAGGGCCACAATCCCTAGCGCTGCTGCCCAAGGACCGGATCTGCTCTCGCTGGAGCCTGTAACGTGCCAGAGGGGTTAGTCCCTGGTAGCTTTGGTTAGGTAACAACACTGAGAATTGCTGCTGCTGCTGGAGGTACCATTCGCTTGGGATCTGCTGGCTTCTGGCCACCGAGACGCAGTCCACCTGCAAAGGGTAAGTGGGGGAGCCCAGCAGTAAGCACAATATTCCTGGGAGCGTTTCTGAGGGGAGCTTGTCCTAGAGCTATTTGTGGCTCTTATGCCACAAGAATTTCTGCTGCTTCCCACAGCCCAAGCTGCTGAGAGAGCTGTGGAGCAGAGCTGAGAGCACTGCAGGGACGGGCTGGGAGGCAGGAGTTATTTGTGGTACCTCTGCATTTCCACACCATCCAACGTGGAATCAATCTCTCACCCTAAATTTTACACAGGAGAAACGTATGTGCAAAGCAGCTCCAGGGTGTCCAGAGCACTCTGATGTGTAGCTGGAGGCTCCTTGCTCCTGGCTTGTCAAGAGCAGGGAGATAAACATGCACTCCAGATCCTCTGCTCCACCTGAGAGCCCCGTCTGCCTCCCTCTCAGCCAGGGGGCTGGCTGCTAACGGGGCACTTCCACTTGGTCCTTAGCAATAAGCTGAAGAGACAGAGGTAGCCCAGACCCTGCCTTAGCCCTACCCATAAGCAATCAGCAGGTTCTCATGCTTCTTGACCAAGTTCTTCATGCGTTTCTTGTAGCCACGTGCCGCTCCAGCTAGCTGCTCTTCCCGAGACTTGTAGGAAGCCCTGATATCCTTCAGCATGCTGTCCACAAAGTGTTTCATGTGAGCGTGATCAGCTGGGGCTTTGCTAGACCCCGTTACATTGCTGGATTTGCTGTCCATATAGTCCTTCAAACATACAAAGAAAGAAATCGAGGTGATCAAGCCATTCCCTAAGGCACGTAACCCATTTCCCACAGAGAAGATCCAGGAATATTTGTATTAACAGCACAGAGATTAGGGCGTATCTTCCATTTTTGAGAGCAGGAAAGACTAATTAGCTTCCATCATGGCCCTTCAAGACAGAGAAGGCATCTGTACTGTATCAGTGACCCGCCTAGGGAAACACAAGTCGGCGTTGGGAGTTACCATCTCTAGTCCCGTATTCTTTCCACCGTGCCCCGCTCTCTCTGCTAGCTAGGAGACGCTTCGACACCGCTCTGTTAGAAATTAAACTATTCTTAGTAGTAAAAATCGCTTTGCTTAGTCTCCTGATCCATCACCACACCGTGTTCTTCGGTACCAGCCTTCTCCCGGCACAGAAGCTCTTGCCAAAACCTGCTTACTGCTACCAAGGAGGTTAGAAAGAGATTTCTTCCCAGTCTCACTGCTCAATATAACCAGGTATCCATGCCTGAACCTGCCTGAAATGCCTGCCTTGTGCCGAGTCCTCATCACGCTCCGGGGGCCCTACTCTACATTAAAGGTGCTCGTTCCTAGAGCAGGTCCCAGGCACTGGCGTTACACGGCTCTATAGCCGACCACAGAGGCTGGCAGAGCTCCCTGCGGGGACAGCAGCAGAGTCACCACGGAGGCGGCAACAAAGCCAGAAGTGGCATCGCCTGGCCTGCTGAGGGAAGTTGTCAGGGCAATGGCGATTGGAAGCCAACTGGAAGGCAGCCATTGTAAATAAAAGGATCTTTCAATCCAAGTAATCTGACCAAGAAAGTCCCAGCAGAAACTCACAGACCCTTTAGTGTGGCCATACAGGAAATCTGGGCGAGGAAGGGGGCTGGCATCTCCTCCCCCAGGCCAAGCCGAGGGGGCAGAGCCCCCTTCCAGCTGCAAGCATGGCTCCCCAAGCCCCACTGCCTGCTCTGCTTGGCAGCCCAGCAAGGAGGGGAAACAGCAGCAGCCTGCAAGAAGCAGGCAGCCAGCATGGAGAGACCTCTCCCGGCCAGGAGAGCCCCTGGGGCTGGGGGTACCCACCGCCACGTCCTTGATGTACTGTGTGAGCCGGGAGCGATATTCCTCGTTCAGCTCCTTCAGCCGGAGCTGCAGCCGGGAGTTCTCCGCCTCCACCTCTTGGAGCTGGCTCTGGGAGGTGAGCAGCACCTGGGCACAGCAAACACAAAAGGCATGCTTGCTGCTGCCCTCGTCCTCTGGCCAAGCAAGGGGCCCTAAGAAGCTCCATAAGAGATGGGGGACTTCATTTCCAGATATTCAGCTTCCCTAGAGCTGAGAAGGTCCTGGGTTTTCACAGCAGCCTTCTGGAAATGTTTATAGTCTCTATTCCCCTGCTACCTCCCGTCATTTGCAATCCCCACCCCGGTGATTTCACCAACTCTTTCTAAATATCAGTGCACAAAATTCCTCCCACCACCTGTGGCAAGCAGCACCTTCCACCACGTGCATCGCACCCCTGGAGAAGGAAACTGCACAGGGAGGAGCACCTTGGCATGACAAACTCCCTGGAGAGGGAGACATGTCGGAGTACCTCAGTACAAGACATCCACCCCCCCTGCTAGCTCCAGAAGTGCATGGCACGCAGGAGGAGCGCGTGAGCGGGGGCAGTCCTGGAGCCCGGGTGCCAGGGGCTGGAAGGGAGCCTGCCCTTACCGCTGACTGCTCCGCCAGCTTGTGCTGGGTGTCCCCAATCGCTCCCTTCGCCTCCTGCAGCTCCTTCCCCATCGCGATCCTGGACACACAGAAAGAAGGTGTGTTTATTTTAACCCCCCAAACTTCTCTGTAGGTCCAATACAGCCAACTTTGAGAAGGAAATCACTACGGGATGACAGAAATCTCCCGGCAGCAGCTGCCAGCACCCACCAGATGTGTGCCAACCAGCGGCCACAGAGCTCTCGAACCAAAAGCGATCATCCTCCCCAGTCAGAGGGTCTAGTTCTCCAGCATCCCCGCTGTGGCAGCCTTTGCTGGGACAGCGACCCCATCCCAGCCTGTCGATGGAAGAACCGCCGTGGGGGTAAGGGCTAGGGCTGGATTCATCTCTGGGCTGTCACGCATTTGCTGTGTGTGTCACAGAAGGTGGATTTTCAGAGGTGCATAGGCCAGTGGGGTACCCAAACACCACCGACTTTTAAGCAGACAGCTGACCCTCTTAAGAGCCTTGAAAACATCAGGTTTTGCTTCCAGGCTTCACTTGTTCCAAGGGTGAATCATCATTTCCCACCCTGTACCCCACCAAAGGCAGGCTGCCACCTCTCCTGTGCCCCAATTCAGCTGCAGTGAGCTCCACAAATGCCCAGCCAAACAGAAGGACGTGCCCTCAAACACTCACACTCTCTCTTCCAGCTTCTGCTGCTGCGAATCATAGGTTTTCTTCATTTTTTCAAGCTCCACTTTTATGTGATCCTGGTTTCCAAGCAACTGAGGGACAAACGAAGAGGAAGATGAGACAGAGGGCTGAGCTAAGCAGAGGGATTCGTGAACGGGGAAGAAGTGAGGAGAGCCTCCAGCTGAGCACAAGTCCAGCTGACCAGTGACATAGTGGGGAAAGGACAGGTTTAACTGGGAGCGCCCAGTGCCCTGTAGCACACCAGAAGCAGTGTCTGCTCTGGAGACGGGGCACATGGAGGTGCACACGTGTTTTTCCCCCAAGGGAGAGTCTTGCTCTGAGAGTCAGATTCCCAGCAGGAGCTGGTGGCGGAGCCCAAGCTGGTATCGCACGGGTTGCAGATGGGAAGGAGGCAGGGAGCATCTCAGTGCTCACAATTTCGGGTGCTTTATCACCCCCATCTTTCTCAAGTAACAGCAAGGAGAAAATAAGCAAGCGTCCTCTGCGCTTGTTGACTTCTACACTCCTGCCTCTGTTGACCCGGGGGCACTGATGGAGGGAACCACAGCTGCCCTCTCTCAGCTTTTGCCTCCACAAGAGCTGGAGTTATTCTAGGCTAACTTTTCAACTGCACAGCTTAAAAAAAAAAAAAAAGAAAATAAATCAAGGCATCAGCCCATCCACAGAATTCAAGTTAGCACCAGGCGGTGCCAGCCAGTCAGAATAAATTCCCCCTCTGCTTCCCCACGGATCCAGCAGCAGACCCCCACACACTCACATTTCTCTCCAGCTTTTGCTGCTCGTGTTCAGAGGCAACTACATCTTCTGACTGGTTTTGGTAAGAGACAGAAGAAGGTGCCTGTTAGATCCCCGTTGCTCCAAGGAGCTGACGACAGGGCAGAGA